CCCCCAAACCCCAAAACCCCAAAACCCCTCTGATGAAAGATATGAAAATTGAGTTTGATTGAATGATTTTATAATTAATAGCAAAAATGCTTCCATAAGTCGAAGTTAAAATTACCACAGATTCTAGTGGTATCGAGAGAGTAGCTGTGTAATCTCAAGAAAAGAATTACAAGTAAATTCAGCAAACATATGAGAGTTACGAATAAACTCTTAAGCAGGGTAAAAATCACACTTATTCATTCAAACTCTAGAAAAAAATCACGAATATGTCAGAATTCTAATGAGTTTGGGAGCTGAGATCGAACTAGCTCACACTTAAGAAATTAATGACAATCAGCATATCTATTTACTATTCACTTCTCTTCCTAAAGTCTTCAAGATTCTATTGTCAAGAAAGTAATGAACTATTTTTAATTATCATTAGATACCATAATGCTGAGTCAAATTTGCAGATATAAGTGACTTAATTTGTAAATGTTTGGTTGAAGTATAGAGTACCTCACATTGTAATTTTGATCCTTTTAATTTTTTTAGGGAAATGAAAATGATTTAGTTACGAGGCTAGTCGGTATCTAAAAGGACCTTGAGATCTTAGAAATGATATTTGACGATAATTTGGACTATTATAATTACAGATTTAGCAAGAACACTTCTGAAATAGAGGTAAGAGAGGGATAATTAGAATGATTGATGTATCTTTTCATTATTAGCTGAAAATTAAACTTTAATATAGGAAAGCCTTAATAGAATTCAAGAGCAAATGCTTAACCAAGAAATAGACCTTAATCATTAAGTTCAGCTTGACTTTGAGGTAGCTTATGTAAAGAGATAGTCTTGCACTTCGTACTACTACGTTCATAACATCAATATGTTCTCTAAATATGGTGGATTCTAGCAAATTCTTAAATTATGCCAACCCTATGAAAAATCTGAAAACTAAAAACAAAGACCTTAAATGAAGATTTTTGCAATAACTCTTAATATCTTGACTTCAATGAGATAGAATTTTAGAGAGCAATTTTGGCTATCATTTGCTCCATAGATTAGAGACTTGTCCTACGACTTTATAATTAATAGAAGTACCTATGAAGACCTTAGAACTGCAACAAAGAAGGATCTTTAATACTTTATTAACCAGATAGAAAGTATGTTAGACTCGATAAACTTGAAAATTAAGGAAAGAGTTGAAAATGTCTTCTAATATAGTGAAAATATGGAACTTAATATCGCTCTGAAATGCCTATAGATGCCAGTTCTTGAAAAGAAATTGATTGGTCACACAATTCTGATAAACAAGATATTTTAGGTTAAAAATTAGCAGGCTCCTAGCACAGGAACATAAGCAAACGGAATGAATCTAAATCTTAACTAAAGATGGCTCACACCTGAAAAGTTAATTGAATGGATGGACGAGTAAAAAATATTTGATTTAGTGTTTGGTGATTCTCTCCACTCGGAAGTTATTAAAAAGTCTTATTCTCTGCTCTAGTTTTTATATCAAAACAACAGAATTAGATAGAAAGAACTAGATAAGATGTGGGATTGCGCTACTAAGAAGCATGAAGCTTATAAAGTGGCAATTATGAAAGCATTTGCTTTCTTAGCTACAAAAGCATCCCTTTAAGACCTGCAGTACATTTTCAACAAATTGAGATCAATTTAGCTTAATGAGATCGACAAATTTAGTCTTGGTCTGATAAAATCTATTGCAAAGAAACTTGCAGGCGAGGAGGACAAGTCATTTTTACCTTAAAATACAGCCTAAGGAAGAAGTTCTGGGCTTGGTAGATCAAACTCATTCTCAAAAGGTTAAGGGTCGAAGCTAGACGACATGAGAATGAATCATAGCCAGCCAAGAACTACTTAAGATGACTGTATGATCAATATTGGAAAGAAAGATTCTGATAAAAAGAAAAATAACTAAGATGCTATCCTAGATGGATGGCCCAAAGATGACATGTCTTCTTAAATGATAACTTAAGGAAAATCAAAGCAGAAAAAAACAAGATCTCTTTCTGGAGATGATGATGGTGGGAAGAAGGTAGAAATTTTCTAGAATCTGAAGAATTTCAATGATAATTCGAATTTCAACAGAAATAAGAACTATAATTCTCAGTCCAACAACAACAATGCTACTACTATTCAGAGATAATCTAACAGAGGAAGTCCAGGCACTCAAAATCAAGAAAGAATACCAGAATTGGAAGTAAACCCTCTTGAAGTCCCACCAGATAAAGAAGATAAGAAAACAGCAGATGAAGAGGGTTCCTTCGGAGAAAGAGATGACATCGCCTAAAATGAAGCAAATGATGTGCTTGAAGATATATTTGATTATAATAACAATAGAGACTTTCAGCTTAGGTAGAATTAAGCAGAAAATAATAATAGAATGCAATCCGACCAGCAGGAAGAAAAAGGAGATTAAATTATAACAAGCAATTAGGAGCAGATTAGAATAAATGTAAGACTGATGATTACTGATTAATCACTCGGCATTGACAATCAGGAAAAAAGAGATCTTGCACATTAAGTTTTGGAGTATATCTGGAGGTTGTGTCTTGAAGAAACTATCATCGATAATCATGTGTCTCTCTAAATTCACAAAATGAGCATTGATTGCTTTGTAGAAGTGATATCCCAAAATTATCCTAAGGCATTACTCCCCTATATTGGGAAATGCATTGCTTGCCTTCATCATAATTACTCTGTAATGTCAGTTCAAACTTTGATGCATAGATTAATATAAAAGATATCATTCCCTCTTGATGGCAAAAAACTGGTTCCAAAAAATAGGCAAGAACTACTTCTGCACTTAGATGAAGAACTTAACATCGCTAATGTTTGTCTGAGCTCGTATATTGAATTTAAAAGAGTCAGCTTAAGTCTAATCTTTGACTAGCTTGGTTCATAAGAGCAGGAGCAAGAAAATCTAGAAACTTAATCTTCTCTTGACAATGACGATGAGAAATCCTCAATGCAATCAGCCTAGAAAAATAATAACAATACTAACAACAACTCTAATTAGCAGAATAATATTCACATCTAAGACTTTTCTAATCCTCCTTAGGAAAATATACAGCTCTAAGGCTTTGACGACACGAATACTCATCAATCAAGTGGATCATTATTCATTTCACCTAGAGGAAAGATTGAAGAAGAGTTTAAAATGCCACAGACATAAAAAACTCAAAGTTATCAAAATGATGCTATTTTTACAGGAGGTTAAAGCTTTAGCAGATAACATGACTTTAGTAGTATGGCTGCAGATTAAAATGAAGATTGGTTCACAAAGAATTAAAACCAATAAATGAACATTGGGTAAACGGGCTCATAGACTGTAGGAAATAGGCACTTTAGTACTTAACAGAAAAAAAATACTCAAATTAATAACTAACTGAGAAATGATAACTAAATTCAGCAGTAGAATATGATATAATAGTAAAATCCAAGTCTTAGAGATAACAGAGATTCGAATGAAATCTAATAGAATTAGGCCCCACAAACCTCAATGAATAATAGCAATAGAGACTTCCTTAATACTTTAATAACAAATGAAGTCTATAAGTACTCTTACTATCAAGATATGCAGCATAGATTAGACTTCTTAAAGTTCTATATTGGTTCCTGCCCTTAAATCTTAAAGCCACAGTAGATTTAAATAGTTTGGGAATGCTTAGTAATTAATGCATTCTATGAGAAGGAAAGAGACTAATTCTTCAATTGGTGTACTTAGATTCTTAAAAGTGCTCAAAGTTTGACCAGTTACAAAGACCTTGACACTCTAGGAAGCTCAAGCATCTTTAACGATGATTGTCTTGAAATGCTATTCTTTGACACACTTTTGAAGCTAGATTTCAGATATATAACAGAAACAATGTATGAATGCTTCGAGAGGTTCATGATTTATATCAATGAATAGTATGGCCAAATAATCACAAATAGCGCTTTTGAATCTGCTTTTGAAGTATTTGAAACAAAGTTAATAGGAGTAGAGGCATTGTGGGAAATCACTTTATGCGCAAGAAGCAATAGAGTTTACGAAAAAAGTGCTGAATTCCTGCATAAGCTCTACAAGAAGATGTCACCTACATTAGTCGAGAGACTTAATGAGATAAAAGAAGACCTTCTTTAGATATGCATGGACTAGATTAAAACTGGATTGAATGAGATTAGAAATGAAGTTGGAAATGATATCTATGATATTCCCATCTATTAATTCAGTCAAAGCTTAGAGGACCCAAAGAATAGAATAGCTAGATCAATTTCTTAGTTATGCAAATTTATTGATGAATTTGAAGGTTTGAGAGAAAGAGGGGCTAAGAGTTCATTAGCATCTTAAGATAAGGATATGAATGTGATATGTAATAACTAAATAAACAGTTCCTAAGGACCAAAGAAGATCTTTCTCACAGTTCCTCTTTCAACTAAGATTGGAGAAATTAGAGACTAAGTTGCAAATGCTATTTTCCCCAAAAGAACATCAAAAGAAATTTGTCTTACCTTCAAAGGTAAAGATTAGAACGAGGATTTAAAGACCTTAAAGGATCTTGGAGTTAAGGCTGATGATTAGCAAGCGACATTCTTTGTAACTCTAAGAAACCAATATGAACTAGATGCCTAAGAGAGAATTGATGATTACTTTAGTCAAGATATGGTAGATTCACTTGTTTAATAACTCAGAGATTTCGGACTGGACTTGCCATAACCAGTTATGCAGCTAGCTGTAAAAAAGTGTAATCTTCAACTGGATGATGCCCTATTAATGCTTACTGAAGAGGACAAAGTGAATGATCTCCAGGAGGAATTAAGAAAATAAGAACAATTGAACAATCAAATAGTTATCTTAGAGGAAAATAAGGAAGAAGGTGATGTACAAAAAGAAGATGCTAAACTAAACTTGATTCTAAGTAACAGAACTGAGTATTTTGAGTTGCTTTTTGATTTACTTAATCTTGGAATTAATGAAATCACAAATGCTTCATGGAATCTTCTCATATAGATACCTGTCAATAAGTAATTGATGAGCAATATTAGAAATTTATCCATAGTGTAGCAAGGCTATTCTGAAAATTGGTGTCACATTATTGATTCATCCAATGTCTACAAAATGCTCTACTCCCTTCAGATAGTTAATTCATTTATATCTGTGAACAATGAGAAGCTAAGTGAGGCAGAAATCTAAGAAAGGTATGAATGGAGAGAAAGATTCCTAGATCTTGGAGGATTTGATCATCTTTATTCAATTTTGATAACTATGGATTTAGATGACTTATTTGGAGATGCATCTAATCTATTCCAACAAAGGTAAATGGTTTCAGGCTCGACTAGCAAAAAGAAGCAAAAAGGTTAATAGCAAAAGCAAAAGTAAAGCTAGACTGAATAGAGCAATTAAGAAAAGAAGTAAATGTAGATGATCTAAAATAATTCGGCTAAATGCCTTGGATATCTTATAAGTATTATCAAGATATTTATTCAGGCTGCTCTTTTAACTGCTGATGAAGAAAAGTTGTTGACTTTAATAGTTTAATCCTCCACAAGTCCATTCAGAAAACCAAAAACCATTAAATCAGCATTATCATCAGTCCCACCAAATAAATTCAATTAAATTCTCTTTAATGCTGGATCTGGATCTGCAGCTGGCTCTGTTAAAGATTTTTCAATCAATGATGGCCTATCTAGAGATAATTCTAGCGTAAATACCCCTAAATTCCATTCAAATCATTCGTCGAATAATACCACTCCATAATGCAACACTCCAATAGAACCATAAAATGAGAAAAACCCATAAATCAATAAATCAGTCGACACAAATAAATTTGACATTTACTCATAGTAAACATTTACTAAGCCAAATAATGATAATCAACTTTACATTCAAGTAGATGATTTCCCAAGATTGGTAGACTAAATGAGCAACGGAATAGCTAAAAATCTGTTAGAAAAAGTCATCAACTTTAATGACTTAATTTCTAAATTGCTCTACTTAATCCATAAATCTACCTAGTTCAGTGACTCAAATGAGGCTTCATCCCTCGTTTAAAATTGCTTGGACTTATTATTGCCATGTGTAGTTTGGAAGCCTAATTAATTGCTTAAAGAAATTTATGAGTTCCATCATTTAGAAAGTCTCTTAATTAGAACTCTGATGTATAGTTCAAATGAGCAAGTTAGAAAAAGCTTAGAACGAACTTTTAAGATCATATGTAGTGAAAAAATAATTCAAGGCTAATCTAAAAATTAGGAATCACAAAGCAGCGGCGAGTAACTTGATGTGGAATCCCCTAAGATTTACATTTTAAGAATTTTACTCAACAATATGCCTGAAATCAATCAAAAGAGTGACTCATGTGAAGAATACTTTAATCTATTGACTTAATTAATTAGTTAATGCAAACATAACTTCATAATTAATCCCAAAAATGAATCAAACTCCTATCAAGATCAGAATAAGTTGAAGCAGCAAATAATTCTAGATGGAAAGAACTTCTCATCGAATGCTTTACTCGAATGGTGCATTAATTAGCTTAAGATAAGACCAACTTATGAAGACAAATACTCTAATTATACTGACAAAATATTAGCTGGCTATTTGTAACTGACTTAATCTGTTCTTGAAATAGATGCTTCCTTAAAAAATCTTACTACAAATGAAGATGATGGATTTAATCTTGTAAAAACTATCTTTGACTTTCTATTTTTACTTCCATCTGAGGAAGACCAGCAAATAAAACATCATAAAAGCGATAGCATTTCAGCTAATGACTATCCGAAATGCAAAAGAAAGTTTACAAGAAAGAAGGCTTTTAATCTCCTTCTAACTCTATGTCATTAATGCAAACCAAATTATGTCTAACTGCTAGAAGAGCTTTACAAGTTCCATGCTTAAATATAGAAGAGTTAGCAAGTTGTTAATCTTCAAGATATTGACCTAGATTAAGGAATGAGATCAGCTGCTGGCTATGTCGGACTAATGAACTTCGCAGCTACTTGCTACATGAATTCACTTATTTAGCAACTCTTTATGATACCTGATTTAAGAAAAGGCGTTCTAAAGAGTTAAATATAAGATGAGAACTTAGAACAAAATGTCCTTCATTAGTTAAAACTCATCTTCGCGAATCTTCAAGAATCTGAGAAGCAATACTATGCACCTCATGGTTTTACTAAGGCATTCTAATTCTATGGGGAACCAGTAAATGTGAGAGTTTAGCAAGATACTCATGAATTTTATAATATACTCTGCGAGAACATTGAGGAATCATTTAAAGGAACTTCTTCAAATAACTTATTAAAGGAAACAATAGGCGGTGTAATCGGCAATGAAACAAAAAGTTTAGAATCTGAATATCCATACATTGGGGAAAGAGAGGAGAATTTCTTTGCTATTAGTTTAGACATAAAGAATAAGAAAAATTTAGCTGAGGCCCTCGATCTTTATATCAAACCAGACTATTTAGAGGGCGACAATAAGTATCTATGTGAAAAGCACAATGTAAAAGTAAATGCTTAAAGAAGATCTTACTTGAAGAAGCTTTCAAATACAGTAATTATTAATCTGAAGAGATTTGAATTTGATTACAACACAATGATGAGATAAAAAGTAAACGATTACTGTGAATTCCCTACAAGAATAAATTTCAAACCCTGGACTAAAGAGGGAATCAAAGAAAGGGAAAAAGAACTAGCTAAGAGCTAAAAAAATAAAGCTCAGAGTGACAATGGAAATCAATAGTTTGACAAGGAGGAGATTGTTTTAGATCAAGAAGAAGAAAAAAAGAATGAAATTGAACCAAATGCTGCTGGAGAAGATATTGACGATGAAGATATGAACTATGATGAAGATCATTCTGAGAGTGGTGAATCAGAGGAAGAAGAGAAAAAAGGTGGAGAAGCACTTGACGAAGGTATGGAATCAAATGAAGACGATATAGATTAAAATGTTAATACAGGCACCTACTTCGATGGAGGAATGGAAGATATAATTGATATTGCTCCAGATGAAGAGGAGAGTCAATCTAATAAGTTATTGCTGCAATAGACGAATTAAAATGTTAAAACGAACTCTCAAAGAAAGAATAAGGCTATTTCAAACAAAAATTCTGCTCAAAGATAAAAGAGAAAAAGGCAACAGAGTAAAGATGATAGCTATTACGAGTATGAACTGGTTGGTGTTTTAGTTCATTCTGGTAGTGCTGAAGGGGGTCACTACTATTCATTTATCAGAGAAAGAGGAGGAAACAATAGATGGCTTGAATTTGATGATAAGAATGTCAGAGAATTCGATATTAAAAAGCTTGAAGTAGAATGCTTTGGAGGAAATCATGATCAAAGAGCTAGCATTTAGCATCAAGGTGGTTTTATTGATGATTTTAACCCTGCTGATGGAAAATTCTTTGAGAGATCTAGGAATGCATATCTTCTCTTTTATTAAAGAGTCCAACCCACAAATAATGATGAGTAAAACAATCAAATAATTCCAGGCAATATTAATTAACCAATGAGACTCATTAATGATATTGAAGAGCCTATTTACAAAAGAATCTGGGAAGAAAATGGAGCTTTCTTAAAGTTGAAAGTTTTCTTTGATTAAGAATACTTTTAGTTTATCAGGGAATATGTAAACATCTACAACTTTGACAATGTGCTTTACTTCTCTAGAGATCATTCTCAATCTTATAAGATTAACAAGTTGAAAGAATTGTATCAGCAATATCAAATTGAGGGCGAGGAAATTACCTTTGATTACAAATCTTAACAAAGGTAAATCATTTAAGACTTTAAATAAAGTGATGACTGCAACATATTTGCGGATCTTGACAAAATTAAGAGAGATCCTGGTCTCTATACTCTCAAGCTAGCAACAATAATAAGTTAAGACATCATAACAAAAGTAAAAGATGTTCAAAATTTTGTTCAATGGATGTAATTAATCAACCATCTATTCGAGAGACATGAAGTAGCCTGTGTTTGGTTCATAAAATATATGACAGAAAATGTAAAAATAACTTTTATTTTTAATCATGTATGTAGAGAAAAATTCTTGAAGAACTTTTACTAGAAAACTAATAGTTTGAAGTAAGAGAATCATTCAGCAATCTTCTGAAGACTGCAATAAGCATAACATCTAAAAATGAGGAATCTTACTTCTTTGAGGTAATTTGCTATATCATATTCATTTTTAATAGTTTGATGAATGCTGTGACTTTGATGTTGATGTCTCTTCTATAAAGAGCAGATAACTAGATAAATAATTATTCTCAAGAGCCTCTGTTATAAGATTTATGGATCTGTTGTTCAATTAATTACTTGATCCTGTTAGAGTACACTGGAGAAGATTTGATGAGTACTTCCAGGTAATTTCTCACTTTGCCTAGAATGGATTCAGTGAAACAAAATACTTAATCGAGCAAAAGGCTATTGGAAAACTTATCGAATTCATGATGAATAATAATCACCCCTTCACATCATAGATTAAATTCAAGATGGGGGACAGAGGTTAAGAGCCTGATTTTTAATTGGTTCTTGAGATATTAGGATTATTGATAAGAAGTTGCTTCACCTAGGGCATTTAAAATGTATCTGAGTACTCACTGATCTCAAGGTTCTAAAATCATTAATAGCATATACCCTACCCTTAGGAGGAGGCGAAGTACATATTTACTAACTTCTTTTTCAACTGCAGATTCCTTAATAAACTTAGCACGATAAATTAAGGCATGGTAGCCATAATTGAACATTTGAGTTGGGGTGACCTAGATTCCTCAAGATTTTTCATAAACGAAATTACAGAATATCTAAGAATGGTGGCTTTCAGAGCAAATGATGAACCCTAAAATCTTTTGGAATATCTGTAGAAAGTTTTACTTTTAAAGGATGAATTCCAAGAGTAGAGAGTTAGAATGGCCTTAAAATTTGATGGATTCTCAGCCAACTAAAGTATGTATGGCTTCATAATGCAGCACTAATACGATTACCCATTATTTGTCATTACTATCATTAAATTCTTTGGTCAATTGAGCTTACTAGATGAAGTGGTCTTGAAGATATTGAAGGCTCATTCCGAGGTAAGTTAACTAAATCATTATAATATTAACGATAATTATTACAGAGCTACAAAGACTGGGTAATATCTTTTATTACTCAACCAATAAAGGGAGGAAGAGGCTACTAAGACGAATAATTCAATTATAGAAGACAGTAAGACTAATCAGAAATTCAAAGAGCTGTAAGAATTGAACCCTTAATGATAATTATTTAGTATCAAGCGATCTTTGACGATCTAAATGCCTTCAATGTTCAAGTTTAAAAAGAGTTACAAGAACTTCAGGCAACAGACTCTGTCTAAGTCAATAGATAATTGATTAATGATTCATTTGACTTTGGAGAGAACAAAATCAACTATGAATTCTAAGATAGTGATAATTAACCTGCTGGTGGCAGAAACAGTGTTGATCCTCTAAATAAGGCTTTTGATGGTAAAGATGATGGAATTTTCAACAATGATTTTGATGAAGTTAACATCAATGATGAAGACGATATTATGGCTTAAGATTTGGCCTTCGCTGATCCTGATGGATTTTAAGATTAAGTCAAAGGTAGTGATTTCGCTAAGTTCTTAGAGGATGATGATCAAAACTGATTTATCAATTGAAACTGCCTAAATGATTAATCTAGATGATTACTTTAACCAGTCAATTTATGAGCGATTAATAAAAAAGAATTAATCAGCCTTGAATTTGACTATTTCGATTTTAAAACCATAAGATATATTTTCAAAATGATTCACCATATCTATTATTTATTTTATTATATGCGATATTTTATCGATGACACATCTGGGGTTTTGGGGTTTTGGGGTTTTGGGG